GTAAATACTCACACTGAAAACTTAACAATCAGCTCTGGTAAGCCAGTTCAAGCTGGTAGGGTGAATGCTGTTAAGCTGTCTTTTTGATGTAACAATTTATTAGGGATTTCCAAGCCGTCTTTCTCCAGGCTGCCCTGATAGAACAGGTAGGGACTGATGTCAAGATATTCAGTAAGAGTTGTAACAACATCTGGTGCTATACATGAGGATTGGGGAAAGGGAGTGGAGAGGGAAAGAGAAGGCTATTAAATAATGGTTAGGAGATCATTGGAAAATGTTGAGATGACTTTCAGTAGAGTAGGTAGGAGTGAGCAGAAACCAGGTTTTAAAAGCCTGAAGAGAGAATGTGCAGAAGAGGGGATAGAGACAAAATTTTAAAGAAATTTGGCAGTAAAGGGAGGAAAAGATAGAGGGAGGTAACTGGATACATTAGACAGGTTAAGGAAAAGCCCTTTTTAGGGCTGGAGAGCTCCTAGCGTGTTTGCAGGCACATGAGTAGCTATGCGTAGGAGCCAGGAGAAAGAAAAGGTTAGATATACATGAGAGGAAGGGGTCTATTGCTGCAGCAAGGCTCTACAAGAGGTGGGAAGACATGGAATCAAAGGCATCCTTGTCAAAGAGCAGGAATTTCTCCTTCTCACCTATGACCAGATGAAAGAAGGAGAGCATGAATGATGGTACTCAGAAGTTTTTTGAGGCACATAAGGGGCAGTTGAAGGGGCTTCTGTCAGATGATTGTAATCTTCTCAATAAAATACTAGATTACCACTTGTTATGTATGGAGAGGGGAGGAGAGTTATGAGTACATAAGTCAGGCTCTTGAAAAAAGGCTTTGGGAGGCAGCTAGCTGGCGCAGTGGGTAGAGCACCAGCCCTGGAGTCAGGAGGACCTGAGTTCAAATCCAGTCTCAGACACTTGACACTTACTAGCTGGGTGACCCTGGGCAAGTCATTTAACCCCATTGCCTAGCAAAAAACAAACAAACAAACAAGTCTTTATTAAAATGAGTTGAAAACTCAAAGAAAAAAGGCTTTGGAATAGTTACTGTGGAATTTTCGAAAGGGGTTCGGCAAAAGAAGAGGAAAAGGACCATCAAACAGTAGTGAGGGCCCAGATGAGCTGTGCAACCTCTCTGAGATGCCCAAGAGCAGAAACTGGGTCTCTATTATCTTTGTATCCTTCATAGCACTTGTGACACTCAGTCAGTATCTGTTGGGGGATACCATGAGTAAGTGAGGATTGTCTTAATGGTAGAAGAGTTAGTGAGAGAGACAGTTTTTGTCAGAGAGGCCAAAAAGAAGTCTTTCAGCACCAACTCACAGCATTTGACATAGGTGAACACCTGTTCTGCTATTGTTTAGGGCTTGTCTTGAACCTAGGACTTACTGAGCCAAGCCTCTGAAATATAACTATACTTCCACCGAGGCCCAGGCTGGCGCAACAGAGGACAGAGTCCCATGGCCCCAGACCAAAGAAGCCACACTCCCTAAAGCACTGACCTTCCCTGTGGCAAATGTAGTTTGGATTCTCCACTCATGCATCCTCCCACCTAAGACATATTTCTGTCCTATGAGAGATTTTTCATTTTCATAGTAGTATGGAGAATATTGTAGTATACTACAAAAACTTATGTACATTCTTTTCTAAAATGCACCCAATGATCTCCCTGAACCCATAAAGACCTAGTGAGGGAGAGTTTTTTATTTAAAATATATATCCCCATTTATTTGACTATTTGAAATAATTAACTAGCTATTTGTGGGTAAGTTATACTGACAGGGAAACTGCCATAGCACATGGATTCAATTCAGCTGATTTCTTGTTTTCCTTTTCTTTTTTTTGTCCTGGGATTAACTGTACATGGTTATTTACATTATGGGGGAAGGAAAATGTTTTCTATAATCCTGGGGTCAGAGCTATCTTTTTTAATTGCAGGGTCCATGCATTTTGTCCCTAACAACCCCCTATCCAGGGCAAAAAAGGATTGTGTACCACCATTTCTGTGGATCCATACCCTTATTGACAGATCACAGCCTACTTATGCCCTCTTATCATCTGTGATTTCTGCCTATGGCCTCCCACCCTTCTTCCAGCCCTCTGGAGGCAGTGTGAAGCCCTGCCAGGGCGGCACTGGCTCTATCCATCTGTTATCCCTCTTTTCCCTGCCTTCTTTTTTGTTTGCATGGATCCTTGATGAACTCTTCTGCCACCTCTCATGTGTTGTAGGATTAACAATATAACTATTAGCTCTAAAGTTGTATCATCCAAAAGCTAATAAAATGCCTGTATCAAATAATTGTTCTTTGAGTCTCCAGCTTATTTTTAATTATCTGATGGTACTATTTGGGGGGGGGGAAATCAAAGAAGCCACCCTTTTCTATGGGATGGGCAGGGATGGATAGCCAGGGATGGGGCTAGGGCTGGAGTGGATGTCATCAGTTTGGCCAGTGCCCCTGAACACCAGCCATGTGGTCCTCTGGGCCCGCCCCCTCCCCTGAAGGACAATGATCAAGGGCCAAAAAGGACTACATCAATAAGTAACAGCTACAACTTCTTGTTGTTGTTTTGTTTTGTTTGGTGAGGCAATTGGGGTTGAGTGACTTGCCCAGAGTCACACAGCTAGTGAGTGTTGTGTCTGAGGCCAGATTGGAACTCAGGTCCTCCTGGCTCCAGGGCCAGTGTTCTATCCACTGCACCACCTAGCTGCCCCCTTTTGTTGTTGTTTTAAGGAATTTTTTATAATTTATTTCTTTTTAAAAGCATTTATTATCTCTCCTTCCCACTGCCTCTCCACAATTGAATAATTAAAAAAAAAGAAAATCCACATAACAAATCAGTTGCAAATCCAACAGAATTAATTCCCACATTAGTGTTCATTAGCCATGTCCAAAAATGTATGTCTCATTCTGCATAGCAGTCCCCATTGGAATGTGAGCGCCATGAGGCAAGGACTGCTGTAGCCTTTCCTTGTGTTCCCAGCATTTAGCACAGTGCCCATGTAGTAAGTGCTTAATAAATACTTGTTGACTGACTTTCCCTCCACTCCTCTTCTCTACCCCATCCTCCTCCCTGGAAGCTCTGTAAATAACTGCTAAGATGCTCTTCTCCTCCTCTCCCTACCTCCCCTTTATATCATGGTGAATCCTTGTCTTGTGTGGAGGCTGGAAAAATCAGCCTTTGACTCTGAGCTGGGTTTTTGCACCAATGTTCCCTAGGTGATCAGGGTTCTTTCTAAATACTCTGCTTATACCATCTTAGGAGAGCAGACTCGTTAAATGGTAGTGAGAGAAATAACTAGCAAAAGTGGCCAAAGGTGAGGGGGACACTGACCTCATCATACCAACACTAACACAGACTTGTTAAACCTAGAACATTCTGTTCTAGAACCTAGAACATGGCGCAGTTGATAGAGCATCGGCCCTGAAGTCGGGAGGACCTTAGTTCAAATCCGACCTCAGACCAAACACTTGACCCTTACTAGCTGTGTGACCTTGGGCAAGTCACTTAACCCCAGTTGCCTAATAAATAAATAAAAATAAAAAGGGAAATCAGATACATGATATAGATACACTGTCAGATGTGAGTCATCACAAAACACATACTTGTGTGCAATGGAGAAGTCAATTGCCTGGCACCAAAACTATGTGTGCATCTAAGGTAGAGTCATATAGTACAGTAGGTAGAGAGAAGTATTCCCTGCATACACAAGTTTATTGTAGGCCTATGACACTGTGTTTGGAGGGGGGAGGGAGAGGAGGGCAAAAAAAAAATTCCTTTAAGTGGTTTTAATATGGGTAGCAGGAGGGGTGGGTGTACATATTCAGAAATAAAAATGATATAGAAAAGATATCAATATTTTTTGGAATGTGCTTCTATTAGAAATTTATATATAAAGATTACCTTCTTATACCAGCCAACACCCTCCCATGCACACACTATTATATATACACTTTTATACAAGGCTGCTGTCTACCTTGCCAGTTCTTGAGCCCAGCTCTGCTTACGACTCTCAGCTAGGTGGAGCAGTGGATAGAGTTCTTCCTGAGTTCAAATTTAGCCTCAGAGACTTACTAGCTGTGTTACCCTGGGCAAGTCATTTAACTTTGTTTGTCTCAGTTTTCTCATCTGTAAAATGAGCTGGAGAAGGAAATGGCACACCACTTCAGTATCTTTGCCAAGAAATGGAGTCATGAAGAGTTGGACATGACTGAAATAAGTCAACAACAGGAAACAACACTACTGAGATTCTACTGCAATCGAGATGACTTCATTCAAAAGAGACGTGAGAGATGATCTCTGTGGATTTAAAAGTTCATTTTACAGAGGATGGTGACTAGGCATTCTCCATCTCTTCTGGGGACAAAACTAATTAATCAATTAGGAAATATTATTAAGCGCCTACTATGTGCCAGCTGCTCTATTTGGAGCCAGGGATAAAAAGACAAAGTTGAAACAGTTCCTATCATCAAAGAGCTGACAGTCTATCAGAGTAGGGGACAGAGTGATGGACTTGGATTTGGAATTAGAAAGACCTGGGTTCAAATCCTACCTCAGATACTTAGTAGTTATGAAATACACCAAGTAAATATGAGGAAACTGAATTAAATTTGTGTAAGACTTCTCCTGCGCTATTTAGGTGACACATAAAGAACACATTTCAGATAAAAAAGTAAGCCCTCTAGTTTATTGTCAAGTGAGGTCATGGAATCTCCAGTTCGAGAAACTTCTAAAGAAGACAGACTATCCTCTTCTCATTAGGTTTGTTTTAGAGATCACTCTGAGGTAAAAAAGTGTGGAATAAGTTCTGAAAGTCCCTTCTGACTCTGACTTTGTGATCCACAGATCCAGACACCACTTGAACCATCAGTCTTAGAACACTTCACCATATGTCATTTAAGTTAGAATGGGCACTGTTTAATCTGACCCAAGATACATCCGACTTCTACTTCAGTCATAACGTGACTGCTGAAACAATTCACCCTTTCTTCTCTTCATTTCAGGATTGACGAAGAGTGGAAAGAATGCCCCGATTATGTCTCTGCTGGAGAAAACAGCTGTTATTTCAATTCATCATATACCTCCATTTGGACACCCTATTGTATCAAGCTAAGAAATATTAGTCACGAGTTGGAGAAAAGATGTTTCACTGTTGATGAAATAGGTAAATCTCAGGTTTGTGTTTTGCTTGACATGGTTTGACACTGAGCTGGAGCCTTGCAAATGATTATGATTAAATGATTGAATAGAAATGTCCCATGAAAGTGACTGAGAAAAAAATAACAATAATACTTTCTAAACATGTGGAGAGTTATTTTGCAGAATTGGCAGCCAGCATCTCTTCCTAATGAGAGGGCAAGAGGAAGGGGAGTTAAGGTAGGGAGTGGGAGGGGCTTAGATTCCTTACATGGAATAGGAACGGAGAAGGCTGTAGAATCTTTCCTTAGAGAGATAGTAGCAAGGAGATAGAGCAGATGGACTCTTGAGGTCCCCAAGCCTGATGATTCATTGCTCTTATAATGTAATCTATATCAACTGAAATGTATTGGCTTTTGTACTGTTTTAATGGAAGATGGAACAAAAGGCTAGATTTTGTTTATTGTGGACAACATCATATAACCATTCCAAAGTTTTATGTTCTCATTTGGTGAAGAGCCAAAATGAGCTTAAAGTCATGTTTACACAATACAAAAACAATCAATCCTTTTGGCCAATTGAGTGAAAAAACTAAATCAAGATGATTATTTGGCATGACATAAGCCAAAAAAAAAGTTTTTTTTTAAAAAAATCTGATTTATCTCCCAGGGTTATTGTGAGAATCAAATGAGTTAACATATGTAAAGTGTTTTGCAAACATTGAAGCATTATGTAAATGCCAGATATTATTATTATCTGGCATTCATTTATCTAGTAACCACAAGTATCCTGGGGAGAGGGAAAGAAAGGAGGAAGGGGGCTTCTTAACAGCACTATTAGATTTCAAAATGTATGCACTGAGGTTCATGCACTTTACAGAAAAGCTTCCAGTTGCTCAAATAGAGGGCAATCCCTTAGTTTGCATTATTCCATTTTTTTCTTTTTTTAATATTTTTATTAAATACATGTAAACAAAATTTCAACATTCTTTTTCTTTTATTTTGAGTTCCAAATTTTCTCCCTTCCCGTTTCCCTCCTTCCTCATTGAGAAGGCAGGCAATTTGATATAGATTGTACAAGTGTATCATGCAAAACATTTTTGTATTAGTCATGTTGCAAAAGAAAACAGACTAAAAAAAAAATCCCGAAGAAAAATAAAGTTTAGAAAGTATGCTTTGGAGGCAGCTAGGTGGTGCAGTGGTTAGAGCACCAGCCCTGGGGTCAGGAGGACCTGAGTTCAAATCCGGCTTCAGACATATGACATTTACTAGCTGTATGACTCTGGGCAAATCACTTAAGCCCGATTGCCTCACCAAAAAGCAAAAAAAAAAAAAAAGTATGCTTCAATCTGCATTCAAACTCTATCAGTTCTTTAACTTAAGGTGAATAGCATTTTTCATCATAAATCCTTCAAAATTGTCTTCATCAGTGTATTGCTGAGAATAGCTTGATTGTCATACAATATTGCTGTTACTGTGTACCCTTCTCCAGATTTTGCTCACTTCACTTTGCAAGAGTTCTTGTAAGTCTTCCCAGCATCCTGCTCATCGTATCTTATAGCATAGTAGTATTCCATCACAATCATATACCACAACTTGTTCAGCCATTCACCAATTGATGGGCATCCCATAAATTCCAATTCTTTGCCACCACAAAAGTAGCTGCTATAGATATATTTTTTGTGCATATGGCTCCTTTTCCTTTTTTTTTTTTTTTTTTTTTTTTTGCTCTCTTAATTGCATTGCTGAGTCAAAGAGCATACACAGTTTTATAGCCCTTTGGGCATAGTTCCAAATTGCTCTCCAGAATGGTTGAACCAGTTTACAGCTCCACCAACAGTTTGCACAAGATTTTAACGATTGTGATTAGGTTCCCAAGCCCAGAAGATTGATGGCTACTACAAAGAAAACAACAAGAAGCTAATAACAAGCAATTAGGCCTTGACAAAAAAAAGTCGTACATAACAAATCAAAAAAAATATAATAGTCTAGGGCTGATTTGTTGTAGGGGAAAACAGGCCTTGAAGGTATCACTGTTTCCTGCATAGTAGAATCATAGATGGTCAGATGTAGAAGAAACCATAGAGAACATCTAGCTCATCCTCCCCATTTTATTGATGAGAGGAGAATGAGGCTATGTCCTAGCATCAATTTATGTTAGGAATAGTAACTCTAAATCATCAAGAAAGAAAGTTATATTGTGGTCAATAGCCTGTGGAGAGGCGGGAAAGTACATAATATGGTTTGGAAAGATTTCTATTGAAATTTGTTAATTTTTTTAATGGAAAGGGTTTCAAGGGCACACTTCAGGTATCTGGGAAATTCCCTTGTCCTGAACATCTCATTCCCTTGTATCATGATATCCTAGGATTTAGAGCTGGAAAGGATCTTGGAAACCATTTCCTCAAAACCCGTTATTTTATAGATGAGGAAGTAGTCTGTGACACCAGCTGAGTAGCTGTGTAGACACAGAATAGGAGTTTAACATGCAAAATATAGCCAATGGATTCTGGCCTTCTGTCCTCAACAAGTACAGTTACTAGTGTGTTCATGTCATGGAAGAGTGCAAAATAACAGACTACAGCCTTCACTATAGCACAACAGAGAGGCCTATTGTTAAACTAATGAAAGAGAAAATCACAGTTAAGGACTTTCTCCTTTGACCCCTAGCTTTTCAGTCAGGCAATAAAGGCCCCTAACAACATGTCATTATCTTCTCTCTGATGCATCGTGCCAATACAAGTTGCTTCGTTGTCTGTGGATTTATAAATGAACTAATGAATAAATGAAAATGCATTTATTAAGTGCTTACTATTTGTAAAGCACTATGCTAAAAGCTGGTGATACAAATAGAAAAGCAAGACAGTCCCTGCTTTCACAGAGCTCATATTCTAAAAGAGGGAGAGACTACTGAGAGAAGAGGTTTCAGGTGCAAGTCATATGGAATGATCCAGTGGTTCATAGAGTGCAGCTACAAGGCAGGTGCTAATGCATCCTTCTTACTGTTATTTCCACGAATAAAACTATAATAACAGATTTTTTGAAGGGCAAATATTATTGTGAATCGACAAGTTGTTATTTTCAGAGCCCCTAGTACTGAGGACTAAAGTCCAGAAAATATTTTTTTTTTAATGCCATTGATCAGGCTCTCTAAGAAATGTCAAATATTTGATGTGGACTGGCTTATACATCACAGCTGCTATTTCTCAACTCTAAGAAAGCTACTAACACCCATGTTGTGGCCTAATAGGCAGGGTACTACAGAAAAACAGAGCTGAAGATATACAGGTGCATAAGTACCAATTCTCCAATCACACAGATAATAGGTTGAGTATCGAGGTGGGAAAATATTGCATCTTCTCTTTTTCAGAGATCAGTTTAATTTCCTACACATACTATTCTGAGAGAAAATCACAATGACCATCATACTCTCATGGTATCTGAGGATAAGAGTTTTATTTGATGTCGGGTCTAGATCTGGCAAACTGTTAAGGTATTGCAGGTCTTGCTTTCTCTTACTTTTATTATGTTTTAAATGAAAACAGAATTCCTCAACAAGCTCCAAAGTATGACTGTCATCAGAGTGAAAGAAAAAGCCAGGATTATAGATACAAGATGCTTTCACCAATTTTCCAAAAAGTTTCAGATCAGTTTTTAAACTCAAAACGAAAGTTTCTGTGAATGGCCTACACAGCAACAAAATCAAAATAGAGAACAGGCCATCAATAAATGAAAGCATTTTTAAATGGGAATATTGAAAGAATTCAGAAAGTGTGCAATGAAACTATAAGAAATGCTTAGAGTTAAAAAATGCTTAGAGTTCATCAGAAGTGAACATTATATTAATAAAATAATTAATTAATAATAGAGTTAATACAAGTGGTATTACTGTACTTATTCATTAACACACTGTTGAAATGAACAGTACAACCAGATCCACCCATTGGCCTCAACTGGACTTTGCTAAACACCAGCCTAACGGGGATCCATGCCGACATCCAGGTGAGATGGGGACCACCTCCCAATGCAGATGTTCAGAAAGGATGGATCCTCTTGGAGTATGAGCTTCAATACAAAGAAATAAATGATACCCAATGGAAAAAGGTAAGATGTGAATATGGTACCTCAGTATAAATGCTTTGGCTTCGATGCCTTTCACTTCAAACTTCTGTTTCTAGTAACATTCTGTTCTCGTAACATTCTGGTTCCTGATGGGATGCCCCTCTGGAGGGGCAAGAGTTCTGGAGCTGAAGTCAGAAGAGCCCGGTTCAAGGCTTAGTTTTGCTACTCGTTACCTGTGGAATTTAGGCCCTGTCTAGGCCTGAGTTTTCTCCTCTGGAAAAAGAAGGGGTTGAAATAAATGACCTTTCATATACCTTCTGCCTCAAAATCCATGATGCTAAGACTATTCCTTTTATCTGGATCCTTAGCTTTAAGCCTAGTGCCATATCTGCCTTTTACTTGGCTTCAATTCTGCTGGGCCCTGGACCAGAAGTTCCCAAACCTTCTTGATCCCCATGCTACTTGGCTTTCAGTAAACCTATCCATACTCTCCATTCAATAAGAAAGAAGAGAGTCCAGAATTTGCATGCATTTGTGCATAAGAAATAGGACAGATTAATTAAGTTAAACAGGATACTATAATTATTGCTAATTATTCCCCCTATCTCCTTAACAAGGCTCTTATACCCCAGCAGTGGGGCAGAGGATTGTAGGGGTCCTCCAGGCTGGGAATCCTGGCTCTAGAACTCTGGGTAAATGAGACTTTTTATTTTTTTGTTTATGTCACCAAGAGCTGAACTAATAGATGAGACATTGTTGTGGTTCTGTGAGGGAGCAGAGGGAAGCTGTCTTCGAGTTTACATTAAAGACAAGGAGGAAGGAGAGAAAGATGATTTCCCCCCCAACCCCCACTTCCATACAATGCTGCTGAAGTATCCTATTGCAGACTCTGACCAAGCAACTCTGTTTGGGAATGTGCCTAAACATGGGGAAGGATGGAGCCCCAGTCGTCTCCCATGCATAGAATTACAACTGTTGAGAAGCCACTAATACAAGTTCTAGAAGGGGTATCCCAGAGGAAGCACATCCCCTTTGAGCCATTTCAGAAAGATATGTTCCTGGGGGAGGGATAACCAGGCAAAAGGGGTCCATGTGTGAGCAAATAGAGAACTGGTTGCCTGTCTCATTCCGAACCCCCACAAAGGCTCTCATTGCCAAGTCCGTGGGAACTCAGCACTTAGATAAACTCCACATGGTACAGAACAAGAAGAAAAACAAGATAATCGTGCTTATTTCAATGTCTGTCTAATTCCAAAGCAGCCTAACCGCAGGCCAAACCTAGCCAAGTTGTTTCTGGCCCGTCTTCAGAGTATATCCAGCTTTCTGGCATTGTATCTGCCCCAGAATTTTGAGGCACTGGGTACTGTCCACTCTAGTGAACCACTGGTAACTGTGCCAGCTCTGTCACTGGCAGAAATGTGGACTGTGAGAAGCTTTCAAAGTATTGCAATGCTGCCCTCCCGTCTTTTATTTTCTAGATTTCCCCCATTTTGATTAAGCTATCAACTCTAGCTGTGACAGAAAGGTGTGTTAAATGCTATATCAGAACATGAACAAGAGTATCATAGTGAAGAGAGGGGTATTCAGTAAGCAGAGACAGCAAAAGCTTCAAGACTCTTGCTGAGAGTGACTTAGGAGCCACCATTTTACAGGAAGCATGGCTCAATGAGTAGAGTACTAGACTTGGAGTCAGGAAGCCCTGGGTTCAAATATCATCTCTAATACTAACTAGCTTTTGGATCCTGGGAAAATCAGTTAGTCTCTCTCAGACTTTTAGTTTCTCTGTTTTCCTTATCTATGAAGGAGGGAAGGTAACCATCTGACAGGATTAGTTTAAGGTTATGTTTGCAAGCTAGGTAGCTCAGGGGATAGAGGGCCAGGCCTGGAGTCAGAAAGACCTGAATTCAAATTCAGCCTCAGATATTTACTAGTTGTATGACCTTGGGCAAGTCACTTTACCCTGTTTGCCTCAGTTTCCTCATCTATAAAATGAGCTGGAGAAGGAAATAGCAAACCACTCCAGTATCTTTGCCAAGAAAACCACAAATGGGGTCATGAAGAATCAGACATGACTGAAAAATAACTGCGCAACAACAATATGTTTGTAAAGCACTTTGAAAATTTTAAAACTTTATAAATGTGATCATTACAATGATGAGTCTGGGAACACTGCTTTTAAAAGCATGCATTTTGGGCAGCTAGGTGGCGTAGTGGATTGAGCACTGACCCTGGAGTCAGGAGAATCTGAGTTTAAATATGGCCTCAGACACTTGACACTAGCTGTGTGACCCTGGGCAAATCACTTAACCCCAACTGTTTTAAAAAAATAAAATAAAATAATGCATTTTAAAAAACATATTTGAGAGGCAGCTAGGTGGTGCAGTGAATAGAGCCCTGGCCTTGGAGCCAGGAGGCCCTGAGTTCAAATCCAGCCTCAGACACTTAACACTTACTAGCTATGTGACCCTGGACAAGTCACTTAACCCTGATCGCCCACCAAAAAAACAAATCAAACATATTTGGAGATTACATTAGTGACCTTGTAGTTATTCTTTATGCTGTAATGTCTGCTAAAAATAATATAAATATTTGAAATGTTTAAATACAGTTGCTGTATCACAATCATATAAATAGCATTTTGTAGTTTACTTACTTCACATCAACTCCGTGACATATGTAGGGCAGGTAATTTTACTCCCTTTTTTACAGATGAGGAAATTGAGGCTCAGAGCAGTTAAAAGACTTGCCCAGGGTTTGCTAATACAGGGCAACATTGGCAAAAGAACCCAAGTCTTCTGAAAGTGTGTGGTCACTAGTGGATATGGCTTATACAGCACTGGACAGAAGATATTCATAGAATCACTTGATATAGTTCGACACTTCTCTCCTGCCTATCTCTGCATCTAAACCAGTAGCTGAGTTTGGATTGCTTCATGTCTGGAAAAAATTAAGCTAAAGGGCAGGAAAAAGTAGGAAATAGCAGAATGCATGGGAGTGGATGTATAAAAGGAAGCAGATCACATCCAAAGAAAATAGAAGCCAGTGGTGGGGAGCTAACCAGAAAGAGAAAGAATACAAAAGGGAGAAGAGGAAGGAACAAGGAGAAAAAAAGTGTTGGGTACAGGGAAAATGAGGAAAGATGGCAGTATTCTTACTAGTGAAATCTCAAAAGGGTTATGGTGGTTAAGAAAAAAGTATCAATTGTGGGTAATCACAACAAAAACAATACTCAAAGTTCCAAGGCTAGAAACATATTTTTAAAAATTGCAACTCAAAAGATAGTGGGTTTGATACATGTAATTTTGGCTTACCAGAAAACTATTCAGGGATATATTTATTACATGTATTGAAGTATGTAGAATGGGAAAAGTCTTTGTGGATAGGAATCCTTTTTTTTCCTGTCTTTGTATTCCCAGCCTCTAGAGTAGTGCCTTGCACATAGTAGGTAGGCACTTAAAAATGTTTGTTGAATTGAATTTGATTGAATTAAAAGAAGCCAAGCCACTCTGTGTAAATATGAGAAAAATAAATACTTTTCAAGTGGAAACATTCTGAGGTGAAAGGGAAATGTGTTTTAGAAATCTCTCAGTCCAACTTTTGACTTAATAAAAATTATGGAAATTTTATTTATGTGAAAAATCCATGGTGTTGAAAAATTGAGTGCCCCACATTTTCTATAAACAGGCACATAGTGTTCTGCCCACAAATATATGAAAAGCACATATTGAATATCTGCTTTGGATATTTGACTTGGGGAGAAATCATCCCTGGTTTGGTCTGCCTCTTGGGGAGCAATATCTTTTAAAAAGACCGTCTTCACAGTCCAAACAGCATCATATCATCCTTACTTCAAAGAGATGATAGGAAAATGGTGACTTTGAGAGCTGTATACCTTACTAAGGGAAACCAGAGACTTTCTTCTAAATATTTTTTATAGTGTACAGAATTGTCTTTCCAGGTAGCTTTAAGCCTTTGGAGAAACAAGAAAGCCGTTAGTGAGTCCTTAGCAAATGGAATTGAGAAGGACCAGAGGACTTCTTTTTTTTTTCCTTTTTTAAGTTTTATTGACATGTTTTGTTTTTTCATTACAAATATTTGTAAATTACCCATACCTAAGAGAGTTCTCTTTAACAAGTTAAACAATTAAGTGAATTCATCTGAAAGTCCTTTCTAGGCCTGTGGTTCTTGTAATTTCCTTGATTCTCAATGTACCCTGTGCAGTCATTAACTCTGTATGTTGGTATGGCTTTTACATGTGGACATATGTTTCTATTTTATATGGTCTTATCTGTTCCCTCTTTAATTGCACCACCGCCTCGATACAGACATACTTCAAAGGGCAGCGTCTGGAAAAGAATCTTTTTCAGTGCTCTGCTAATGCTAATAGACATCCAGTGATTGTCTTACCTGATTGATACATCAAAAACTCAGATTGAGGTCTACCTGTGCTTTTCAGAAAACCTGACTTATAGATGCTGGAGCTTATACAAGAGCCATACCTTCCAGGAGGATCCTTTGCTTTAGCAAAACCTCATCATGGGTTCTTCTTAAGTAACAAGTTATTCTCATTAATTAGAAACAGTATTAATTATTTTGTAAGGTAATTCCAGTATAATCATATGTGGAACTTAAGACAAATGTATTGCCTGCTCAAAACTTTGCTAGAGTACATGTATCATGTAAAATGAAACAAATACCGTGGCATGATTATCCATAACATTTTTTTCTAAGAAGCTTCTAGGGTGTACCATCATTTGTTGGGCCCTCCCAGCTTTTTTTTAACCAGAAAATTGTTGGTGATGTTTTTGTCTTTGTAGATGGAACTGGTACGCACCACATCTGTTCCAGTGTACTCCTTAAGGTTGGATAGAGAATATGAAATACGAGTCAGATCCAGACAACGTACCTCGGATAAATTTGGGGAGTTCAGCGAAATACTTTATGTAACATTTCCCCAGATGAGCCCTTTTATAAATGATTGTGAAGAGAAAATCAATGGTAATGAGAACCAAAATAGCATCTGCCTGTACATACTACTCATTTCTCTGTTTACCAAGAGCAGAGACACATTAGGACCCATATTGCAAGGATGAAAATTGTCTCTCCTTTCTGTTCAAGGCAGACCTCCTTAGGTGAAAAAAGAAAGGGGAATAGGCTTCCAGATTATTGCATTCATGAGTATCCAAAGATTCTTTGTTACACATTAGGACCCAGATTGCAAGGTGGAAATCTTCTCCCTTTCTTTCCTGTTCAAGATAGACCCCCTTAGGTGAAAAAAGAAAGGGAAATTGGCTTCCAGATTATTTTCTTCATGACTTTCCAAAGACCGGGCAAAGAGATTAAGTTCTAAATCTTTATGGATAGTTGATTATGAGGATCAGATAATGTCTCTCCAAGATTTCTCAGCTTAAGGTCCCCGATATGGCTTTCCTCTAATTTCTGATTAGCCCAGTATTGGGATAGAATGAGAAATATTTATCTGTTTCAGATACCTTTTGATTCCAGAGTCAGAAGTATGGGCCAAATGAATCAGTAGGAATATAGCATGAAGGAATCATCATTGCCCTATTTTTCTCAACTTTGTTCAGACTCTTACTTAAATACTATGGCCAGTTCTGAGCCCCAGTTCTAAAAAAAATTGTGAAGCATTTAGAGAGAGAAGTCATAGGAGGATCACAAAGATGAGCAAAGGGCAGCACTTAAAAGCTTGTGGGGGGGCAGCTAGGTGGCACAGTAGATAGAGCACCATCCCTGAAGTCAGGAGGACCTGAGTTCAAATCTGGCCTCAGACCAAACACTTGACACTTACTAGCTGTGTGACTCTGGGCAAGTCACTTAACCCCAATTGCCTTAAAAAAAAAAAGCTTATAAGGAAAAGATAAAGGCTAAAAGGCTGGACTTGTTTTCAGAAGAGAAAAGAGGACCCCAGGGTGATTTGAGGCAATGTAGTATCCTTTTTTAAAAAATTAGATTTGAAGTCAGAAGGTCCAGATTTGCATCCTAGATCTGCCATTTACTAGACACACAAACTTAAGCATGTCATTTAGCTTTTTCGAGCATCAGTTTCCCCACCCATTGAAATAAAATAAGGAAACAATACTCATGCTGCCTACTTGGCAATTGAAGTTATGAGGCTAAATAGTGATCATTGTGTCCACAGGTGATTTTTGACAGTTTTGCCTTTTAAAAAATGCTCCATAAAATATTAGTTGGATTCTAAGCAAATCAGAGCCTCTGGAGCTCCTATAGGTCAACAGAGAAGTGATATTTTTCTCCAATGGATAATAGGATGGAGAAGGCATGGGGAGGAGGGAAGGGAAAAGAGAGAAGCACCAAGCTATTAAAGTGACTCTGTGAAGACTAACTAGATTAAGTAATATGCTGCTGACAAGTGAGATAATATTCTAGAGCAGGGACATTTTTTGTATTCTTTGCATTGACTGGTCATCACTCCAAAAAAAAAAAAAAAGCTATTAACTATTGCCTATTTCTATGGTGGACTAAAGAGGTGTAGGTTAACTAGAAGCATAAAGGATTTGCCTTATTTATATGTTAAAGGAAGAATTTCTTAATGGCATTAAATAGTTATACAAGTCAGTTAATATTTATAAAAATTGTTGCAACCCTTAAAGCTCTGTATAAATGCTAGCTATTATTGTTAATTAGCTTTTAAGAGAGGTCATGAAGTTTCCATCTTTAAAGATCTTTAAAAATGAGATTGGTTTTTAGCTACCTGGAATGTCTTCAGGATAATGTTGACATTTAGGAAATATTCCAATTCACATACTGCAAGCTACAGAGAAGTTAACTGCCTACTTTCATATGTGATATGCAAGTGGAATCCCATTTCAAAAATGCCATTAAAGTGAAAAGTCTGTGTAACAAAACTGATTCTAAACCCCAGCCTATGGCCCACTTAACTTTGAGTAGTATTTGATGCTATACATAATAGGATTTTATCCTATGTATGGTACCTATAGTCCTCCAAAGCCCCATTATAGGAGATGACTCAATATTTTCAGGGCTATGCTAGAAGAGTACAAACTGTGGTAGACTTTACCAAGTTGGAAGGGCTTTGAATACAGTCAGTCAAACATTTATTAAACAGCTACTGTGTTCTAGACACTGGGCTAAGTTCTAGGGGCACAAAGGTAAAAAACAGTCCATGCCCTCAAGGAGCTTATATTCTAAGGGAGGAGACAACACATAAATAACTGGGTACATACAAATAATACATACATATATGTGTGTATATGACATATATATATATATATATATATATATATATATATATATATATATATATATACACACATACGCATATAAACAGAATAAATAGAAGATAATTTCAGGGACAAAGGCACTAGTAACTGGGAGCCATAGACTGTATATCTGTTTTCAGAAGACTTGTGTAAGCTTGAAAATACTCATCCAGAGGGTGATGAGTTTTTCTGCCATAACTTCCAAAGATCATCTACCAAGTCACAAAGTATCACAATGGAAAAAACACACAAACCAACAAAATCTCTAGTTCTTGGAAGAATTCAAGTATTAATCCTGTAGAGATAGAGACTAGGCTTGGGATTTCACTAATATACATCAATAGTTCTCAAACTTTTTGGTCTATGGACCTCTTTGCACTCTTAAAAATTATTGACAATCAGGGGCAGCAAGGTGGTACAGTGGCTAGAGTTCCGGCCTTGGAGTTAGGAGCACCTAAGTTCAAATCTGGCCTCAGACATTTACTAGCAGTGTAACCCTGGGCAAGCCACTTAACCCTGATTGCCTCACCAAAAAAAAAAAAAAATTCTTGAGAATCTCTACCTTAATGACATATCCATACATATCCACATGGGCCAACGTATTGAAAATCAAATGCCAGCAATCTATGAAATTACTTCAGTAACATATTTTTATAAAGGAACAAAATTATTTTTGTGCCAGATGAGTAAACCTTGAAGTCCTTTTGAGGACATAGGCAGCTAAGTGGTGCAGTGGAGAGAGTGCTAGTCCTGGAGTCAAGAAGACCTGAATTCAAATCCTGCCTCAGATAGTTACTAGCTGTGTGACCTTGGGCAAGGTCCTTAACCTGTTGCCTGTTTTCTCATCTGTAAAATAAGGATCATAACAGCAGCTACCTTACAGGGTTGTTGTGCGGATCAAGTGAGATAATAATTGTAAAGTGCTTAGCAGTGCCTGGTACATAGTAAGCACTATAGAAATGTTAGCTATTATTATTATTAAGTGAGCAGAGGCACTCTTCTGGGACAGCACCAGTCTTTGTGGTCTCACTTAGTTTTCTGATAAAATGGCTCCTTACTTTACTAGGTGAATAACAACTGGGAACCACTCAGCCCCAGAAAGAAAGCATTAAGTCTAAATTTCCCTTCAAAGACTCAAACCTTTGTGTGAGTGAATTTTTATTTTGCATTTCAGATTTCCAGTTTCCATGGTTCTTGATTATTATCTTTGGAATATTTGGGCTGACAGTGGTGTTATTTGTATTCGTACTTTCTAAACAACAAAGGTAGGTTTGAAACAGACTTCTTTAAAAGGTGTTGGGTTTGGGGGAGGGGGTTGGCCAGTGGAGCTATTAGATTTCCAATCCTTATCCCATTTATATTTCTTAATAGGTTTCCCCAAAAATTGTGAGTGAAAATGAAAAACAAAACCCAGTATGACTTTATGCTTAGTTCCATATTCATGACAAGTTTAGCCTGCTCCATATACCACTGGTAGTTTACTGGTTTAGACTACATAAAGTGTGGCTACAAATTCTTTAAGAATTACATATTATATGCCTAGAAAGTATGTGTCTACACACACTGGTTTGTCCCTACCTCATAAAGTCATTTTGGAAATGTTGACTACTCATTTCTTAGCTTCAGGTCCTTTCCTCTTCTTTCAAATGTTCATTCTTATCCAAACAAAATAAATAAACTATACTGCAAAGTCATGGGTATATATCCTATAAAGGTATGACTGTCCAGATAAGCCACCAGGCTATCAATGAATTCTTGCCTGGTCTGACCTCGTGTTTAAATACATACGGAGTAAAGAAGAGATATAAGGCAGGTGTCAAACTAATTTTAAAAAATAAACTTTTTAGGCTTAATATTCTTGATATTTCAGGTAAAATGGGGTCTGGACTTAAACTATTTTAATTGTCACAATCATATACTCCTCTTTACATTCTCCTTCATGTATCCAGGACAAAATCTTAGAGAGGTAGAAAATGTACTGGATAGATCAGAGAAACCTGGGTTCTTCTTCTTCCTTTGCCATTGCTATGTGACCTTGAAGAAGTCACTTAGCTTTTACAGGCCTCATTTTTGGCATCTGTAAAATGAAGGCATTGAACTAGTGATCTCTAAGGTCTTTTTTAGGATTAAGATTTTATGATCATGGCCTAAATATCTCTTGATATGAGTAACTCAATATAGAATGGGGAAGTTTGTTCCAAAGTGTGTAAAGTAGAATCAAAGATTGTTAGACATCACCAAGAGCTTTGCATTTGGGGCGTTACATGTATTGCCATATTGCTCCCACTGCTGTCACCAGAATAAGATCCAATATTCAAACCTTGACCAGCCCTAGGTAGAGCTGGCTAAAATTATAAGCATGAATTCCTTTTACCACCATGCTACAAAGAAGAGTTCTTTTTTGAGTTTGGTTTATTCTGAGTTTTGTGATGGTTGTTGTCATTGATGTTGTTTTTAAAGAAAAAGTACAGCTTCTGAGCTTTCTTAAAGTGAATCACAGCTAGAGTCTGTAATTCCCAGAAGGCAAAGAAAGTACTGCCAGACTATACAGTCTCTAGCTTGCCAAGATTCTTCAGCTTAGTACATGATATGATACTTTCCTTGGGGATGTATCTTTGATTTTGTGATGTAATTCATTGGACAAAAAAATTAAATTGGACTATACAAAGTTTCACTTAACATACAACTTTTCAGGAACATTTCCATTTCCTATATCTAAGGATGCTTATAATATAGGAGGTTGGTAACACTTTCAAGATGCTTGGGGGGAAAATACAAATCTATTTATTTTTTAGTTACATGTGGGTACTTTGAAGTAATATAAACAATTTTAAATAATTTTAGGTAAAAGCCAAATTATGTACCACTTGAATACTTCATTGTGTATAGTTGATGAGCTAGTTGAGACAAAGCTAACTTATATGGAGCACATTGCTTACTATAAAGTAAGAGGATTCAGTATTTTAAAAGTTGTTTTATTGATGTCTTTTGTCTTCATACCACATGAATTTTTCAATATATTACATCTTCCTCCCCTACCCAGAAAGTCTTCCTTTCTAACAAAAAAGAAAAAAAATTCAGTAAAACTAAGCAATATTTCAATTGAATCTAATATTTTAACATGTGCTGTTCACACCCATAATCCTTTGTCTCTGCAAAGGAGAGAGGTATATTCTTATATTTCTTCTTCAGGGTCAAGTTTAATCATTATAGTCACACAGAATTCAGTTTTGATTGTTTTGTTATTCTTTCCATTTATGTTGTCTGAGCCAATGTATATATTGTTTTCCTGGCTCTGTTATTTCAATTTGCATCAGATCATTTAAGTCTTTTTATGCTTCTCTGTATTCTTTATATTCATTGTTTTTTATACCACAGTGATGTCGCATTACATTCAAGTACTCTTAGCCACAGATCATCAGGAAACATTGTGAAAGCCCAGTGAGTTATGGTGTGCATTATTTAATTTGTCAGGAATTAACCAGCCAACACTAAGTAGAAGGAAAGAATAGGATCCTCCTAACTAAATAATGTTAAAGAAATTCAGTAAACTTCATCTTAGGGTTGTGAGGGAGAAATGGAATCTTTTACCAAGAAACTGCCTTTTTGATCACTTTTTAAAACTATAATTATTGGGTCCCAATAATTACTAAATTATTGTACTAAAATTAACCAAGCATATTAAAGTTTTCTTTAAACTTTCATGTCTTGTTAAAAAAAACACACATTTTTTGTCTCCCACATCTTCAGTATTGACAGGATCCCCACATAACAGAAAACATGTCCTCTAATTGCCATGTTCCAATAGAAATAGGAAGTAGTAGATGTTGTGTGCCAGAAAATATCTAGATTTTATATATTTTGACCCATAAAAGAAAACTTCAAATAATGCAGTACTTCTACCAATCTGTGCCCTATCTTTGTTCCTCCAATGCTTAACAAAGTGCTCTGACCATAGTAATCATCTAATTAGATTTTTAGTTGAGTTGAGTTGAGTTACATAGAATCATAAAGACTGCTTTACAAAAACTTAAAAATTCATTCAGTCCAATATCTTGCCTATGGGTAAAACCACACAAACCAAGTGATTGCCCACTCAATCAAAACAGTAATCCCTGTGTCCCAAGAAAAATATGAAATATCAAATTCACAGGAAAAAAATTTCCCTTCTGTATCTACATCTAAAATCCAATGATAATAATAATTGTTATCATCATTATTATATACTGTCCCCTAGATATATAGGAAAAAATCTGAGTGTAAAACATAAATGTGTCCCTTATTTGTTTAAAATTTTTTATTTAAAAATTATCATTATTGGATAAATAAGTCTTTTGTATCAGTAAAGAGATGATATTGTCCATGCCCAACATTTCCAACATGCTAATGGAAAGTAGTAGAGCATTTAGAAGAAGGGTAAGAGGACAGGATGACAAAGTTGGATAGTCAGACCTTTATGGTATACCCACATCATTGTTCTACTACTACTACTACTACTACTACTACTACTACTACTACGTCTACTTGAAAGATGAAGTAGTTTCATTATTTTGTTTAAAATTTTGCAAATTTCCAGATCATCAGGAACATGTTAAAATGTAAGCAAAAAATTACTTTTCCATGCTGTGTCCAAGTGATTTTCTTTTATTATCTACAATTGTGGATTAGATAACTAAGCTCTCCAATTACTCTTTATATTGTAGCTTTTGTCATTGGTGTATGTTTCTGAGTCAGTATCATAGGTTCCAAAACAATGATCTCTAATCCATTCCATAGCCACATACAATACCCCTAGTCCCAGGCCATCCATCTTGCAAACATGTGCCATTAGTTTCAAAGGTTTCAAAGACCCATTGAAAGAGAGAAAAATGGATAGATGAGCAAGAATCACTATTGGAAAACCCTCTCATAGCACATGCCTAACCAGGAGCAGTTGATTAGCATCATCCTCATAAAAATAACAATGATAACCACAAATCATATTTCTATAAAGCATTATGGTTCACAGTATGCACTTCTCACACCATGACTCTGGCAGGCAGATAGTGCATTTCACAGATGAGGGATCAAGAGAAGAAGAAACTTGCTCAGTGTCACATACCTAAGAAGAGACAGAGCCTGGAGTTGAACCCAGGCATTTTGTCCCTCAATCCACTGAAAAAGAGGGATACGTGGCATTATATAACATTACCAGCTTTCCTAGCATTGCTATTATGTAGCATTACTAGCTGTTCTAGGATATTTGGTTATATTGTTACTCTATATTTCTATATTTGGTGAAAGAAATCAAATGAAAGAAATAATCTTTGAGGGATACAGAATCAACAGAATATTACAAGACATGCTTCTACATCTTACTCCCATCTGAAAGTTGGTGGTTAACATGCTGAGTCAGCACATTGGAGGCTTGACTCAAAGCAAACAAGGACCACCTAGAAAAGGCAGGTGAGAACATTCTGAGAGCAACTTTCTCATTGAAGCTATTCACACTGATGTCTTCCAACTACAGCCAAGCCCTGGAATAGTCACAGTATTTGATCAGTTATTCCTGCTGCCAAAATAGGGATAGTTACTTTCCATACCTTTTATATGAACCCATAAAACAACTCTGTCAGGGGGCAGCATGTCCTAGAACTTGGATTCTTCATCTTTTTTATGTCGTGGAACCCTTTGGTGGCCTGGTGAAACCCATGGACCCCTTCCCAAAGTTATGTTTTTAAATGTACAAGATAAAATATATAGATTATAAAGGAAGCCAATTATATTGAAATACCATTTTTAAAAAAAGTTTTTAAAAGTTTATGGACAACAGGTTAAAAATCCCTAACCTAATGTAGAGAGGACTGATCTAGGAGCAAAAAGACCTAGGTTCAAGTCCTGCCTCTCACACATACTAGCTTTGTAACTTTAGATAAGTCACTTAAATTCTCAGTATCCAGGCAACTTTCCTTTTTTTCCCTTTTTCTTCCTTCCTTCTTCCCTTCCTTCCTTTTTCCTTTCTTTCTTTCTTTCTTTCTTTCTTTCTTTCTTTCTTTCTTTCTTTCTTTCCTTCTTTCTTTCTTTTGGCAATTGGTGTTAAATGACTTGCCTTGGGTCACACAGCTAGTAAGTGTCTGAGGTCAAATTTGAACTCAGGTCCTCCTGACTCCAGGGTGGGTGCTCTATCCACTGTCACCTAGCTGGCCCCCAGGCAACTTTCTAAGACTATAAACGAAAGAATCATTGTTGACTTGCTTTGATAGAAAAAAAAACATTCTCACTAGGAGTTCCCTAATCTCAGGATCTCAGGCTAGACCCTCCTGCCTGTGCCCTCGGGCCCCCCCCCCAAAAAAGAACATATCAAAGGTTGCTGTAGTTCTTCAGGTCAAACTTTAGCTCTAGTTTGGAGGTGGGAGTAGAAGATAAGTATTGAAAAGGAAGATGCAAATGATCAAGATTGTGTCATAAAATGATAACTAGATTAGGAATCAATGTGTCTAAATTTTAATCTGGCTCTGCCACTGTTACTGACACTGGGAAAATCAATCACCTTAACTGTGAAATGTAAAGTTTGGAAAAGATTGTCTGTAGGGGTCCTTCCTGCTCTAAAATCACACTGAGAGTCATCATATGTTCATGGGAGAAAAAGATCATAGATTTGGAATCATAGGACTCTGGTTGGTATCCTGGTTACTCCCGGTGTGATCTTGGGCAAGTCATATAACTTCTCTGACCTTCATTTTCCTAATCTGCAGTTAAAGGGATCAACCAAATGGCCTCTAAAGTGCTGCCTCCAGCTATGAGCCTCATACATATGATCTCAAATAAGAATTATTCTCATAAATCAATTCTTACCTTCAATTATTGCAGTAACTTATATGATAAACAAGGATAAGAATGTTGAAATGGGCAATGAGATGAATGGTGTGCACAGTGATTATGTTTTAAATTTCTAAAACTAAAAGACTCAAATACCCAAATAGATCACTGATATCAGTAGACGGTGTGACCTAATGGATGGAGGGTTGGTCTAGGAGCCAAGAAAATTGAGATCCTCTTTTTTTTGATCAAATTGTTTTTTTTAATTAAACAAAAGAAAAAATAATTAATTAATTGAACAGAAGGTCACCTACAGTTGCTTTCTTATAACTAACCCAGAAACTATCCTTGAATCTCACTCTGGAAGTGAAAGCTAGCTGCCAATCTACTGTGTATGAATCAGTGGAGTAGGTTACCATCCACACCAGGCTCAGTTATTTGCAAACTCTGGCATAGACTCCAGCTCCCAGACCCCTCTGGTGCCTGTCTCAATCTTTTGAAGCTCAGAAAGAGAGCAGAGCCCCTCCATTCTATTCCACAGGGAATAGAAGACCTGAATTCAAATCCTACCAATAGAGCTGCCTCTGATTTGAAACTGACTACAGTAAAAAGTTAATTTTGCTGCACTGCTTTCTACCTTCTTCTATAGTTTTTAACTTCCTTTTGCCTCTATCATCTTCTCTTCTTACTCTTCTTCGTGATGACATTTCTAGAATAAAGACAATATTATGTTTTCTACCCTTTGAAAGAATGAAACATATACTTTTAAAATCAATCAGACCATTTGAAAAAAATGTTTGTTTGTTTTTTCAAGGATCAAGCTGCTGATACTGCCCCCAGTTCCAGTTCCAAAAATTAAAGGGATAGATCCGGATCTTCTGAAGGTAATCACTAACGCTTTTGACCTGTGGCTAGTACTGAGGCAGAAAAGAGATTAAGCTGTTCTTGCTGAGCGTTCTTGCTAGGACTCTTGCTTCACATTAATTTGGGGTTTCTTTCCTCCCAAAGGGAGAAACTTTACAACATAAAATTCCTCATTTTATTACTTAGTTAAATATCAAAAGTGACCTGAAATGTTTTGAAAATAAATCTTATGATGTTCATGATATCAATCAATCAATAAGCATTTGTTAAGCACAATACAAAGGCAAATATGAAATAGTGCCCGCCTTCCAAGAGCTCCCATTCTATGAGGGGAGACAACATAGACATATACAAGTACGTACATAATGTATATGAAGAAACTACAAGGTAATCTGGTCGGAGAGACAGTTGTGATATTGATGGGGGAGTGGGGCAGAGCCCAAAGGATAAGGTCTATATCTTTCTATTGATTGAAGAGGTATAATTCTTCCAAGCTTTGAAAGGCATTCCAAGTATCATATGTAACAAAGTAAATTAGAACATAGCATAATAATGATGGTTATGCACCTCTCTGGGGATTGGTCAGTGCTTCTTAATAGCACTTTAACAAAGGATCCTCTCTAGGGCTTCCCTAAGTAGGGCAGAAAGAAGATCCCAATTCACAGTTGTGAGCTAAAAAAAAAAAACAAATAATTTAGAGCAAGGAAACATTACTGAAATCTCACATGGCAACCCTGAACATGCAAATGGGCTGCATCAGTTAGAACCAAGGCTGATTTTGCCTATAGGTAAGCAGAGCCCCAAACCATGAGAAAAGATAGTTGCTTCTGTTAGACACAAAAGTTTTGAAACAGATTAAAGCCCAGAAGGGATCCCATCCCTTTAGGATAAAATGTCAATGAAGCTTTCCATCTGAAGCCCAAGCAGCCACTTTCCCAGAAAGCACTGATGTATATATCAATGTGTGTATTATTCCCTCTTAGGCCTAAGAACTATTGCTTGTCCCTCTGAACTACAAATATCAAGATGCCAGTTAGTTCTCAAACCCCTATTACATTAGTATAAATGTATGAGTGAACTGGCTCAAACTTAAAGCAGTTACTACAACCATTCACCCCCACCATTTTAACTTCTGAATGCAACATGGCAGAGGGACCAATTGTTATCTACTGGTATTCTTGGTTCAAGTATATCACCAAGGGTTTCCATCCTCACCAGGCTCAGTTATTTGCAAACTCTGGCATAGACTCCAGCTCCCAGATCCTTCTGGTGCCCCTCTCAATCTTTTGAAGCTCAGAAAGAGAGCAGAGACCCTCCATTCTATTCCATAGGGAATAGAAGACCTGAATTCAAATCTTACCTCCAGTTACTCAAACTCCCTCCATATCAGGGAGCTTCCTAAGACTTATCTACTAAGTCAAAGATGGGTTGTAATCTTCATTAAGCATATAATAATAACTTATAATGCTTGTTGATAATGCCTTATAAAAAGAAGACAGATTTTATGCTGATGAAGTTTTAGATACTGGACTATGTATTTGTATATTTTATGACACATAGGATGCTATTATTATTGTCATAATTTATTTGGTATTTGTTTTTATTATTCCCTTGCTAAGTGTTACTTGATTTTGATCAAACGATCGTTAAGATCAAAGGATCGTACGATCAAACCAAACCTCTCCTCACAGTATTTTGTTTTTCTTCATTTCTGTAGAAAGGAAAATTAGAAGAGGTAAACACGATCTTAGCCAGCCATGACAGCTATAAGTCTCAATTCTACAATGATGATTCTTGGGTAGAGTTCATTGAGCTGGACATTGACGATCCTGATGAAAAGACAGAAGAATCCGACACAGACAGACTTCTAAGCAGTGACCACCAGAAATCCCTGAATTACCTTGGGGCGAAAGATGATGACTCTGGACGTACAAGCTGTTATGAGCCAGACATTCTGGAGACTGATCTGAGTGCCAGTGACTCCTGTGATGGGACTTCAGACATTGCTCAGTCACAGAGGATGAAAGGGAAAGCAGATCTCTTATGCCTTGAGCAGAAGAATGATGGGTCACCTTCTAATTGTGATACCCCAGCAACTCATCCACCCAACAGTGTCATCCTTTCAGAAGATAGCAAGCCAAGACCACTTCTTACAAGTGGAATTGAGTCAACTGGCCTACCTGTCCATACTCAGCTGAGCAACCAGAGTTCACTGGCAAACATTGACTTTTACGCCCAGGTGAGCGACATCACTCCTGCAGGAAGTGTTGTTCTTTCACCTGGGCAAAAAAATAAGGCAGGGATATCACAGTGTGATGGGCACCCAGAAGTGGCCTCACTGTGCCAAGCAAACTTCATCATGGACAATACCTACTTCTGCGAGGCAGATGCGAAAAAATGTGTTTCCGTGGCCCCTCATGTTGAGCCAGAGCCCCGGGTGGAGCCGAGCTTTAGCCAGGAAGATGTTTACATCACCACAGAAAGCCTTACCACTACTGCTGTGAGTTCCGGAATAGCGGGAGGACCTTCAAATTCTGAAATGCCCGTGCCTGACTATACCTCCATTCACATAGTACAGTCTCCCCAGGGCCTTGTACTCAATGCGACCGCGCTTCCTGTGCCTGACAAAGAATTCCTCACCTCGTGTGGCTATGTAAGCACAGACCAACTGAACAAAATCATGCCCTAGCCTTTCTTTCGTTTACCTTGCGCATATATATTTAATAGCATAAAGATGGCTTGGGCTAGTCCACTTAAACCAAAATAATGTTTAAACATTTTTTTTGGGTGGTTCTTAAGCGCTTTTTCCTGAAATGTTGAAACATGATAAACACACACAAACACACAAGCATTAATCAGACTCTTTCCTATTGTGAATTGTAAATATTTTAAAGCATTGTCTCTCTAAGACCATTGAGTAGCAGTGATTGTCTTGTTATTGTGGGTGTTGATTTTGTGATACTAAACATTGAATGACTATGTTTTTAATGTATAGTAAATCATGCTTTTTGAAAAAGCTAAAATCAGGTGGTTTTGCAGTTCAGGAGAATTTAATGCAAATCATACCATACACTGAGTTGTTTGATGTTGTTTTTTAAATCGGTAATTGGAAAAACTAAATAAAATATAAACAGGAAGGCAGAAGTAGTTTGGGTAAGTAAAACATTTATTTTGACATACAAATTGATAAAGATATTTTAATATTCTAGACTTAAAGCACGGCTATTTTATATTACGGTACACAATGTGTACTGTAATTTATGCTGATCCATCTAAAGAATGTATTCGTTGCAATTTTACCAAAGCTGGTTTCAGGTTTTGGTCATTGCAGCAAAAATGAAATAAAATAAAATAACAAAAAAGTTAGTTTTTTATAGGGTCATTTTTATACCTCCAAAAAAGAATCCTTAGATAATTCTAAAATGATTATAGTGACTTACTTTATTAGATCATATTCATCTTACCATAAGGTGTTTTTTCTCAGTGTACTTATACATTTTTAAGTTTTCAGGCAAACTTTAAGTTGTACAAAACAGTAAGAGCAAAGAACACATTCACCACCATATTCTGATCCATGCCCATGTCAGTAGGTATCAAGAGGAGTAAAAGTTATAGCAGACATTTCTTTGCCAGAACATTTGAATACTGCAGTTGCACCTTGAGCGATTTTGAGCCCATGGGAGAATCCAAAATGAGCACTGTAGCCTTGGCGTCTATATATCTTTGCATATAGAACCTGATTTTTATCCCATTGTTTCACAATTCGGGGATGAGGTACATGAAGCATTTTGTATGTTGAAACCAGATGAAATGAAGTGAACAGGGAACAGAGGGCAATGTGGTTCAGGAAACTTGGTTTGGGGTTTTTTCAGTATTTTTCCCCCATAGCCTATTGACAGCCCCCATCTTTCAGGGACGAGAACAGCATAAATAAATGAGATTTGTCGATAACACAAGATCCCACAAACCAATATCAGTAACTCTCCCTCATACCAAACTTTTTTCTTAGGGCTTCTTGTGTGTTGAAAAGCTGTCTGATCTGACCTTTACCTCCCTTAGTTTTTTCTCTAGTATCCCCTCAAAGAACATGTTAGTAAAGAGTGAGACAGCTTCAAAATCAGGCAATAGGAAAGAAAAGGAGACAGGAAAGATCTATGTAATCCGCAAACCAGATAATCAGTCCCTGATCCCTAGTAGATGTGAGGAAAGTTCTCCCAAAAGTATATTATTAAAGAGGAAAACACTATCTGGGTAAGAGAATGCACTTCATTTGAAGCAGAGCAATACACAAAGTAAGACAGATGGAACCTTGAATTTTACTTCTCCATCAGTGGGATTTGCCCATTTAGCACAGGCATCTTTAAGACATGAACAACATCATCAGGGACTTTCAATCCCTTTTGTCCTGCAAGAACTGCAGCCAGTTGCTGGAACTGGGATTGGAAAGTCCAGCATGTGACTTTGTAGTAAATGTTTATTAAATCTTCTGCTAACTTGCTGCTGCAGTTTTCTAACAGCTCCATTATTTAGTTTCATGTAAGATTTCATAAATGTAACACTAATTCAATTAAAGCTACATATGTTTTTGGAAGAAGTCTCTTACTATACTCAAATAGGCTGACAAAGTTTCTATAGCCAAAAATAGTTAAAAAAAAAAAAATACCTCAATCAAGCTCAGAATGTTATTTTGGTACTTTACTGGTTATACAAGCCATTATTCACCAGTATGAATAGTTGTGTCTTTCGGTTTATATTTAACTTCTTTATGTCTGTGGATTTTTCCCTTCAAAGTTTAATAAATTTATTTTCCTGGATCCTTGAAGATGTGGTTTTTTGTTATCAAATGCCAGCATAACAAATGATGATTGATTATGCCCTGCAGATTCCTTATTCTGTAAAAAGAGTTTACCATCATGGATTGGGGCCAGTTTGGGTCAGCGTAAAAGCTAAAATAAGTCCAGGGAAGGGAGATGTTGGCTTATGCTACAGTATTTTAGTCAAACCAGAACCAGGCCATGGATAGACTAAGTCAGCAGCTCCCTAGCAATTTTGATTTGAGAACTCCAACAAGGCCTCACGTGCTTAAAGAAAATACTTAAAAGTGAATGAGCTGCTTGATGGAAGTGAGATAAGATCTTGGTTCAAATCAAGAGACCCCAACCTCATCCAAGGAGAAAATTTCTGATCTGACTTTTACCTCCCTTAGTTTTTCCTCTAGTATCCCCTCAAAGAACATGTTAGTAAAGAGTGAGACAGCTGCAAAATCAGGCAATAGGAAAGAAAAGGAGAAAGGAAAGATCTATGTAATCCACAAACCAGATAATCAGTCCCTGATCCCTAGTAGATGTGAAGAAAGTTCTCTAAAGGAGAAAAGCTGGAAATCAGAGACATGTTGAATAGCTAGTTTTTCCTATATGTCTGCAACTTCCAAAGTCTTTTTACTCTCTCTTGAAGACTATCTTGAAAACATACATGTGTTCCTTTCCCAAGAACTTGAGCCAACTTCACCTCTTATACAGCATGCTGAACTCAAGTGGTTTTAGAATTCTCTCCACCATTCAGGAATCATATCTCTTTCAACAAATGCACATCATACAAAACACCCCAAGCCTAGTTGGAAGTCCAGTTACTTATTATGTATGGGCCTCTGTGAGTCCTTTTTGTTTTATGCATTTTCAAAAGTGAGATAAAGACTCTTTCTCAACTTAATTTTAATATTTTAAGTACTTTGATACTTTAGTACTCAACACAATTTAATACTTTATTACTTCTGCTTGTACAGGAATTGAAAATCCCTTCACCTCCAAATAGCAAACCCTAAAAATGATCTATACTTTAAGTATACTCAGTGATGTTCTTGGAGCAACTACAGGTAAGAGAAATGAACCAAAGAGAGAAACTGACCTTTTGGAAGCCGCTTCAAATATTGATCCTGGTTCATATGAATCCACAGCCACTGGGGGAAATGGTGGTTCATGTTTTCCAGTAGAAAAAACAAAGCAAGGAAACAAAATCTTCAGAGACCTAATGAAGATTGTACATTGGCATCAAAGCACATGATAGGAAATAAGAGAAAAGTAGGTCTGCCCTCTCTCAGGCATTCTTGTCATGTTGTTATCTGAAACGTGGGCCACTGCTAGCTCAGAAGCTCTCTTGTGTTTTTGCTATGGTGGCTGTATTATAGCTAGTTCTTCTTATTTTTGGTTTTGTTCTATCTATGAGCAAAACTGGGTACTGGGGAGTAACCCCAGCCTAAACAAGAGCCAGAGGAGGGCTCAGTACGTCATCGTGAGAATCTCCTAGGCCCAGTCCCAGCCTCAATATATCACAAGGTTACTTTGAAATCACAGTGAAGTTGGACCTGTGGCTACCATGCCAAAAAACACTGTTCCTGAAAATACTCCTTTCATGGAAGTTTTAAAGTTTGTTTGAGAAAAATGTAAAATTTCTGCAGCAATATGTGACACAATTACAAACAATAGAATAAAAATAAATCCTGCACAGACTACTGGGAACATTTTTCTAAAGTATATTTCATAACTGAATTCTTCCTAGATACCATGTTGGGAACTGTTAATGTCTACTGAATGAAAATTGCCTTTATCTCTCAGAATAAATATTGACATTTATTTGGTAACATTGCAATAAGGGTATTTAAAATTGAGCACGTAAACATCATTTAGATTTCTATTTCTTGGTTGGTTTAAATTTTTCATTTTGATTTCAAGGTAACTTATCAGGTGACATCAATGGAAGAGAAGGAACTTGCACAGACTATGGAATATGGCATACCACACCAAAATAAATCCAATTAAAATGTTCGCATTAGATAAGACTTGAAAAAGAAATTAATAATATGAACATTGTCAGAGAGGAGATGAAATTATTCCTATTTGTAGATTATTTAGTTAGGAAATCACAGATAATCAGCAAAAAAGCTATTTGAGACAATAGTTTCTGTAAAGTATCAAGATACAAAATAAATCCACATTTCTATGTAGCAATAACAAAATACAAGAAGAATAAAAAGTGAAATATAATTCAAAATAGCTGTGAAACAGGGGGGCAGCTAGGTGGCACAGTGGATAGAGCACCAGCCCTGAAGTCAGGAGGACCTGAGTTTAAATCTGGCCTCAGACACATAACACTTACTAGCTGTGTGAACCTGGGCAAGTCACCTAACCCCAATTACCTAAAAAAAAAAAATAGCTATGAAACACATTAAATATTTTGAAGCCAAACTACCAAGATACACTCAAGATAAGTAAATACAATTACAAAATGCTCTCAAAAGAAACAATGACAATTGGGAAAATGTTCATTGTTGAGCCATGCCCATATAAAAAAAATGACACTTCCCAAATTAATTTTCAGATTTAGCGCTATATAAATCAAACAGATTGTTCCTTCCTCTCCTCCCCTTCAAGTACTCTTTATCAGATTTTTTTTTAATTTCATTTTTTTGCATCCCTTTCCGTAGAGAGTTTCTTTCACTCTCTTCGTTATCCAATTTTCTTTCTTTCCACTCTAGACCCTCAGTGTCTGGTTTATAGCTCCCATTAATTATCTGATGTGCCTTTCTATTCTCTGTATCTCTCATGGAATTAGAACTTCTGAGACATCCATTCAGTGCTCTCACCCTGTTGAGCTTGCCCTACAGATTCCCCTTTTCCATTGTGCCTCATTCCCAGAACAATGCCAATTCATGCAGGTGACAGAGAGGACACTGTCCTATGATAGAACCCCGCCCCAACTAATTCTCTGCTTATGCAGCCCATCACTCTTCAATAATCTCCCCCTGGTTACGTTCTTTCCCCAATTGCCTCAAAATTTCTTCTCTGGGTCCATACCCTCCCATTCTCCTAATGCCAGTTGTTCCCAGAATTTACAACTCCCTCCCTCCTGAGGCAACATTAGTAGGGGAAATGCTGGTTCATGTTTTCTAGTAGAAAAAAATAAAGCAAGGAAACAAAATCTTCAGAGATCTAATGAAGATTGTACACTGGCATCAAAGCACATTTTTCATTCACCAAATCTCCCAGACCACATCCAGCACAGGGTCCCCATCTCTCTTCATAGAACATCTCTTCACCCACAGGAGCATTCATTGGTAGAACCCCCTCCCACAACTGAAACAAAGCCTCCCTTCTTTCTTCCCCATTTTCAATCCTTACCTGTCCTCCTCAGCCATCCTCACCCATTCTCCTCTAGGGTCTTTTCTTCCTGAGACCACAGGGCCAAGTTTACCATAATTAAGCAGCTTTCTGTTCCTTTTTTGTTTATTTGTTCTTCCTGTTCACACTGTTATAACCGTTGTGTATACTTTTTCTGGTCTTGCTGCATTCTTCATTAACTGCATTTGTTCC